GCAGAAAGAACATTGTCTTACTTTTATCTATAATGTCTAACACACACACACACGCACACACACACACACAGAGGGAGTGTGTGTATGTGTTGTGGGCACTGTACTTAAATAGAACAGTATACATGCAACTCTTCAGTTATTACGAGTTCGCGAATAAGCATCTGTTGAAAATGCAACCTGCTAGAACTGAGCAAAAACTGAGAATCAAGAAAGAGAACCAAAACATCCACCCCACAATATAAGTGTTTTAGAAAAGCTTTCCCTAGGGCACAGTGGGAAAAGTATACTGCAGAAAGTAATGTACAAGCAAGCTGAACTACAGGAAAGACCATGATTGGCCTTTAAAATTGCATAGAGAATGAACGGAACACGTAGAGTTAATTAACAAGTTAATCGGTAAGGATGTAGCTAACTGCAAGAGTACTTGTTTAATATGTTTAAGCCTCTGCTTTCAATCCCCAGCATCTCCCCTCCCCTGAAAACCCCAGAAACAGGAAACAGAAGAAAACAAGATCCTAATACATCAAGTATGTATACTTAGTCAGTGGTCTTTGACTACAATTGGAGACACTGTTATGAATTTGTGATTTCAACATATAGAAATCTTTGAAGAGACTGATGTAGAAGCAGTTATATATGTACTGTTATACTTAGTATATTACCTACAAGTGTGTGTGTGTGTGTGTGTGTGTGTGTGTGTGTGTGTGTTAGGCATTAAGGATAAAACTAACACAATGTGGATTTCCTCGGCCTGTCTGCTGAGAAGGGTTATGGAATGACAGCACAGTTACAATGAACATGCCAAGTACCACATATTGGTTTCTAAATACCCTGTTTTATAAAAAGAATAGAAGTGGCTCGTCCAGAGTTTGGAACAAGGAAAGTAGAGATGACCACTTTGTGATGCCAGTAGACGAAGAGATGCTCCAAGCTTGTGGAAACACATCAAAGGATACAGACACCAGTGGGAAAGAACTCCAGGCTTGGCATATTTAGAGTCATTTCAGGAAATACTTGTAGTGAAAAAATAATTCACTATAAATAAAAATGAGGCAAATACTCATTTTTGTTCATTTTATATTTACAGAATTAATAATATGTAAATAAATTTAAACTGGAAATGTATTATAGTAAAATTCGATTAATTAGTATAGAACAATTTTGAAAACTAATACTACCCTTACAAATGGAACTGTAAACAATCATTCACTCCAGAAAAATTAACATATGTTAGAATTGGTGAAGAAATGATCATTAGAAACAGATGATTTAGCCAGTTATGGTGGCACACGCCTTTAATCCCAGCACTTGGGAGGCAGAGGCAGGTAGATTCCTGTGAGTTCAAGGCCAGCCTGTTCTACATAGTAAACCAGAATATGTAGAGAGACCATGTCTCAAAAACAATAGCTTATTTGGATATTTGGACTGTCTCATAATATTACCCTGTACAGTCTCAAAAATATCAGTTTGCAAGGGGAAGAAAATGAGTTTACAATTGATAAATTTGGAAGATGCTATTTGAACCAAGCTGTCAAGGGGAACTCAAGATAAAAAAGGATATCATATCTTGCATATACAAAAAGCAACGGCCAAGTAAAAACACAGGGGAAAATTCTGCACTCTTACAAAATATCAGCACAGGTACATATAGAAATATATGTATAAGACTACAGATACAGAGCTGAGGATGGGATCGATTGTAAAGTGCTTGGATAGTGGGGTCAAAGTCCTGAATTTGATCCTCAGAATTACAAAAAAAATACATATAAACATAGATAGTTGAATAAAAGAAATCAGGTATGCAGATATAGGTAGATTAGTAAAAGTCGACAAACTGAATCGATCATTTTTGGCAATGCTATACCCCCGTATGTCCTTATTTATCACAACAGACACATTTCTGCATACTTAAAATTATTGAGGAAGCAAAAAAAGAAACATAAAGAAAATAATCTATCACTAGTTGTAAGTAAATTAAATTTTATCGCGATTGCATAAAATCATACAACCTGTATCTGTATACACACAGAGATCAAGCTGGTCTTTAAAGTACACATCTATTTACATTATTCTATACTGCTTTACATAACACGAGCAGGAAGAGATGTAAATCCCATTATCATTAACATTGCACCTTCTGTGTCCAAAAATTGTAATAGAAATAGATTATATGCAAAGGAGACAGTATAAGAGACCTAAGGACGAAGTAGGAATTTAAATTTTCCAGCTCTACAATTCATTGCCTATGTGACCTTTAGCAAGTTTCTTAACCTCTCTGTTTCATAGTTTCCTCACATAAAAAGTAGTTCTCTTTATATATATATATATATATATATATATATATGTATATGTGCATATATATGTATATTCACATACATTGTAGGTCTCTTAAGAAGAGACCACAGAGCAAATGTGGTGTGTTTGAATCCCTGGGTTCAATCCCTAGTACCACAAAAAAAAAGAATAAATATGAAAATCTACCTTACTATGCTAGCATAGTATTTAGCACATAATAAACACTGAACAATGTAAACTAAAATGATAATGAAAACAACGATGACCATTTCTTCCTACAGAACATTCATAGAAGAAATATTATTTCCTGGCCAATAGTCTTAGTCTTACCCTTGATAAATTCTAGCCACTGGCCACCAGGTACACAGTATGGTTTAAATTGTAGAAATGCATCTGCCCTCTTCCATTAAAAACAACTCACAGATATCTGTATGCTATTAGTAGTATTTAGAGCTATAACCATAAATCTACAAGCTTCTATATTTGACAATTTGTATAATTACCTTAACATAAAAATATGCTATTTCCATCCCTAAAAATGACCCTTCCAGCCTAAAGTTGCCTTTATTTTTACTGCTGATCATTCAGTACCTGGGTTATTTTACTCTACCTAATAAACCTTCGCCCTTAAAAGTTTTCGTATATTTGTGATATCCAATTCTGGCATGACTTCAGAGATAGAGAAATCACATAATTATGAAAAAGTAAAATTATTTAATAAACAATGCTCTTTCTGATATAAACACCTCAATATTAAACAATCTCAGTGAAACACTAACCCAACTATGGTCAAGTTTCACTCTGCAGAAGGTCACCAATATCCCTAGCACAAGTATGGAGAGCAGATACCATTCATAGTTTTGAGATGATTAAAACTTTCACTTAACTAGGCCTTTTATTTCTGAAGCAGGAAAAACAAACCCCTGGATTTTAAAGAGGGACAAGATTTTAATCATAGGAAATTGTCTAGAAAAATGTCCTGTAAAAAATGTATAGGAGAGGAAAAACAATTACTTCATAAACACTTGTTTCATTAAGAATCAATAAAAAACTTACACATAAGTTTTGTCAAGCACAAAAATCTGTTTTAATATAAGCAGATTTAAACTGGCATGCAGTATTGTTATACACACCTGTGTAATTGGTATCTAGTGCAGATTTATTAATAGCAAGATCATTAAAAGGAAGGATTGCTTCATGAATCATCCACAAAATCTTTGCCCCCGAGGCAAATGCTATAAACAATAGGCACTAAAATGATCTTCGAATGAGCTATTTTCTATAGCACAATTATAATTTAGTCTAACAATCTTTAGCCATATTGACTGTCTAAACATTACCCCATTAAAAATGCTCTGTACCCAAAGAACATTATTAAATCACCTATCTACTTCGGTAGAGGAAAATGATAGCATTCATAATTAAGACATTTGCTATGTGTTTTCAGCAGATTTTCCCTCATAATTATGTTGTGATTACAATAACATGAAAGTCACTTTTTATACTGGTGGGACACACATTTTTCAGGATATACAAAGGGCAATGTCATCTGAGGTGTGCTGAGTACAATAGGGACCCTGTTAGCTAACTTTAAAATGGACCCAGAATATCTGCATCTAGGGACTGAGAGTCATTTAACCATCTGAAGGCCTCTGCTATGATGTCATATTTAAGTGATTTAAAAAAAACACCCATTATGATTACTCAAATAAAACACTTAAATAATGTATCACGCACTTAGTTAAGTGAAATTAAGTACCATGGCCTTCAAACTGGAGAACATTTTCTGCAAGAAAGCCGTTCACTGGCATTTACCTCTTACCTCCAGAAGGAGAGAGGGTGTTGGGACAGCAGACTGTGGCATCCATGCTACATTCCTAAAGGCAAGTGGAACTTTTTGCTCTGTCATTTCCCATGTCCATCCTCCCCCACTCTTCTATCCCACAAAGCTCATGCCCATTTGAAAACTGAGAATTCTTTTTCTTGTCAATAGGTGAAAGGCAAATTTTCAATTTGTTCAGGTGACTTTGTGAGTTTAAAAAAAAATTGTGAACAAACAGAAATCCCTAACTTTAAAAAAATAGATGCAAAACACTCCTGAAGCATAGGGCTACGCCTCTCTTCTTCACTCTGATTGGTATGCTACTTTAACAATTGTATAGGAATGATGTCAACAGGACAGAAAGCAGGGCAGAACTCTGCCGACCTGGGGTTGAGGGGAGGTTCATGTTGCCTAAGAAAAAAGCATACGTGAAGGGAAGATCTCCATCAAGGCTATTAACACTTTGATGGTAGTTAAATTTTAGAGGAACCAAATATTAAACTATATGCCAAGTTTAAAGAGTGCGTGGGCTGGGTACAAGTGGAGAAAAAAGCTAGCTGGCAGACAGCAACCCAAGGTGGGGGGTAGAGAGAGGAAGAAAAGTTTTAAACACCCACCGGAGCCCAGTGACCCATTAATATATGTCCCCACAGCCCTGCCCAGCCCTGGTTCCACTCTTGTCCCAGAAGAGGCAGCTGCAGGGAAGCAAGCGGCCCTGTTTTTAAACACTTGAAATTCTCCCTCGGACCAGCGTTGTGAATTGTGTTTCTTTCTAGTAAAAGCTAATTTTGGCTTCCCTAGCCAAGGTCAAGGAGTAAGGAAGGTAAAGGATCCAGTGGTTTCCGTGGGAGCGAGTGGCGATGGGGCGGGAGGGAGGACTTACCGCAGCCTCTGCGGGCTGCTCCCACAGACACAGGGCCAGCAAGAGCCAGCCGGCGGCCAGGCACACTTCAGGCACTTGCATTCTTCTCTGGCTCCCGCAGCTCCTTCAGCACCCGCACGGAATCCCAGGTCCGTTCGGACCGATTGACATAATCTTGAGGGGTTATTGGGAAGAGAGCTAGAGCCAGGAAGGAGCAGTGAGTGTCCCAGTTATGCTGGTGCACTTGGGTGAAGAGAAAGCTTTTTATAAGAGTGAAGCGATTGAAAAAAAAAAAAAAAACAAGAACAAGAAAGAAGAAGCTGTTCTTCCCTCCCCCCTCCCCTCCCCAAAGCCGGTCTCTTGGGAGCACTTTGCCTTCTGTTGGGACTTGCAAACTTTCCGCACTCACGTCCTACAAATCTACTTTCCTCGCTCTCTTCCCTGCACCGCCCCCTTCCAGCCAGCGCTGGGGAATTTGAGTATCCCTCCGCCACTGCTTCACACTGCACCAGCAACCTGCGAGGGAGTGACGCTCAGTTATTTGAGGGAGGGAAACTTCAAGATCAGTTGACTGAACACCATAAGTCCAGCCACCAAGATTTCTTATTTGTTCAGTCGCAACTTCTCTCAATGGAACTATTTCCTGATCAGTCCAGCTTTCCCTCTGATTTGAGCTTCAAAGCCACTTCCAAACAGACCTGAGCTGGGACTATTTTCTCTTTAGCGGATGGATTTCAGAGATATGGTACTTTTTATTGTTAATCATTAGAAATATTTTTTTTTTGCCTCTGCTCCCTGGGCTGCTGGCCTTTGCATTCCAAGTGCTCATGGGACAGAGTTTCTGTATACAAGCAGAAGATTAGAAAATATTAGATATCTATAAATGAAGTAAAAAAATGAACATATATATTTGTAAATCCTTAATGCATGTTATAACACATGTAAGATAAGATGTATTAAGTAGGTTAATAATTTTATAAGGTTTAATATTATCATAGATTAGTTATCTACTTTTATTTATTTATTTTTATTTACATACATTGAGTTCCATAATTAACATTTATTAACTGTACCGAGCTAACATAAACATATGACATATGACAGTCATAGTGTTTCAGGACTATGACAGGTAAATAAATAACATTAGTATAATTCCTTATAATGAGCAACACCTCATTAGAATTGCCTGTAAGAAGCCAATAGTAGCTGAAGTAGATCCCAGATGAAGTAGGCATGAATATTACCTTGATAAATCTTATAGACGTTTTTAAGTACGGAAAGACCAAGAAGATACTTTATGTGGATTCATTGGAATGTCTTTCAGGAATCTGCTTAAGAACTCTTCAGAACATTTCGATTCTCAGTCCCTGGGTTAAACTACATTCTCTCTATATTTTGAATTGTCTTATGAGGACCTTATCCTCAGGTTCTAGTTAGTTTAGAGATTTAGACTTAGAACTACAGAGATTTCTACCCCCGCTTAGTGTACAATCAGTTAGAATAAGAGTTCGTGCATTTGGGTTCCTGGGGCAGATACTTTCAGGTCTATCTGTCTATGTAGTAGTAGCATACTTAATTCTATTCATGCATAAGTCTCTAAAGACCTGCTCATGAAGCTTTGGGACTGTTATGTGTAGAGATGCTTGAACTGAGAAAGACAAGCAGCTTCCCAAGGTGGGGAGATGATTGACAGCAGACAACCCCGCCCCGTTTCCCTCCATTCCTTCCTCCCTGGGCGCATGGAACTATCTCCTGAGTGCTACAAGTTTTAGCGGGCACCGCTGAGTGTGTTTTCCTTCGGAGCACTTTTTTATCTAGCAGCTCTCTTAGTTTTTTCTAAACTAAGCCATTTCGCCCCCTTACACTGTCCTGAATAAGGAACAAACTGCCAAGCATCAACGGAGCCCGTTGAGCCCGCGCCATGGAGCAGTTTAGCAGTCTCCTGGGACCCAGCTCCGGAGGAGCCACAAGCATGCACCCTGGGTGAGCTGTTGCTGCTCAGAACTTTTACTCCTTTTCAACTTTGGGCTGCATTGCCCCGGCCAGAACTTTACTTGCACTTCTGTCACTGCAAAAAATAAGTGCGAAGAGACATCAAAAGGAAGCTTGGGGCTTGGGGGCGGGTGTTGCTCACTCAGGACCCTGTAGTCCAGAGAGCCCGTGTTTCTCACCCTCCCTCTCCTTTCAGATTGTGGCTGTTCCTGGTTTCCTTATGCCTCACCAAAGAACTGGCAGAAGCGGTAAGGCTTCAAAAGACACCCCCCTCCCTTTTTTTTTCCTCTTATGTTTCCGTTGAGGGTAACAGAGGGTTGCACCAAAACAGAGCCTTCAAGGACCCAGAGTTAATAGGGTCCTTGAAGAAGAATAGTAAGCATAGTGTTAGTTTAATGCTTTTGGAACTCAGCAGTCTTCCTGTCTTAAAACCATTGCTATAGGTTTGGGAAATAGGAAATAGAGGTAGATAGTGCAAGATGCACAATTTGTGAAACTCGTCAGGACAACTTCAGATGACTGACCACTGATGCCTTCTTTTGATAGGCAGATCTGCAAAGCTGAAGAAACGTAGTTCTTCCTAACTTTTAAGAACATGGATTGGCACAGAAATTTAAGGGTGGAAAGAAAGCATAAAGGACCGGGACTTGAAAGTGGCAGCAGTCAAATAGGGGTTAAACTTTATGTTTTCTTGTAAGTCTTTTCATGCATCAAAAAGTTGAAATGCTTAGGACAGAAAAGCTTTCTAAAACTTAACCTTTAGTGGGCTGCTTAGATATTATCCATGAACTTACCTAGAGATTCCAGGCAATGGAATTTATGTAGCTATCTGGTCAAGAAAAGTTTAATGTATTCCAGAAAATAGAGAAGTCCCCAACACAATTAGTAGGATAATTTCACAAAGGTGAAATGACTAAATGATCAGAAATGCCAGTTTTCCAGTTAAGCCAATTACTCATGCTGTCCAAATAAAAGTCATTAACTATCGAGTTCTATTTCATCGGTTGGTTTAAAAGAAAAACTATAACAGCTAAAGTAATTTACAACACACACAATAAATAAGAATGCTTGCATTTTTCATCTTGCAAACTGAAATTATATTAAAGGATTTGCTCTTTAAAAAGTTGTAAATACTATTTTAGAACTGTACTTACTTCGATTCAATAAGATAACTGACACATTTGTGAAAAAAATAGGCACTTTGTCCTGACATGATGTCTTTATGCAAATATCAGTGAGGAGAGATGAGTTTTCCTATAAAGAATATTACCAGAAATAAAATCTAAAATTTTGTGACCCTGTAAGTCAGAATATCAACTTTTAAGTATTTTCTGCTAGTCTTTGTAAGAAGAAATATTGATCTCAGGCTCTTGTACACGTTTTTGTAACCTGGTTCTTCTAGGATATAAGCTTAGTAGTTATGAGTTTCCTTAAGGGTCTATACTACATTTATTGAAAATGCAGCTTTTGATTTCGCTTTGTCCAGCAATCTTGCCACTGGTTAAAACAATGTAGAATACCCCCAGCAAAATGGTATTTTCAGACTTAGAATGATTTGTTGTTTTTAATATGATCACTGTAGATGGACAGGCATTTCCTAGATACCATATCTTTTCATTTCCTATGATGGAGGATAGTATTTCCAGTCCTTCAAGGCATTGAAGTGGGTCTCTACATCTGGGTTGGACACTTTTGTCTCATTGTTTTACAATGTCACATCAGTTGTCAGTTGCAGTAACAATGGTACAACTGGAATTAGCCTTGGAGTCTACTGACAATACTTACTCTGTTGCCTTAAGACCAGAACTGCTGCATTCAGTCTTCTTTACATGTACAAAGCATCCTTGGTGCTGGAAAGCTGTTTCTAATGACAAAGAGAAAGGGAGGAGAGTCGCAAAATACCTTCCCAGAAGATGCTATTATTGAGGGGATTTTTTTCTCTTAATGTCCTTGCATTGTGTTCTCTTCATTTAGTCTCAACTAGAATCTAGTCTCTGTATTTGTGCTGGTTGTTTTTTCTGCTTTTTAGATAGTTTGTAGGCATTTGAATTTGCAATACCTTGTTTAAGTGATACTAATGCAAATAACTTAGGAATATATCAGTAGAAACTCTGTTGCATTTCATTACAAGAAAGTTTCTTCATACTGTGAAAATTAAGTTTCCGATAATGGAATATTGGTAAGCAACTAAAGAGAGGGTCATTTAGTTGCCTTTGAGCTTTTCCTTTTTAAGAATTTACAAAGCAGTTCTACACAAAGGAATAGAAAGCTAAATGTTAAAATCCATTAAATTTGTTCTTCAGGTGAAGTATCGGCACGATATTTCTTAGTGAGACAGACTTTAGGATTGCAGAACACCAGGAATCCTTCAATTAAATGCTTCAGTCCTGAAGGGTCTGGTGGAGATTAGACATAATGCGCAGAAATTTAAATAAACATAGGACCCTGCATATTTTCCCTACAGTGCTGCTCATTATGTTCCTTAATGGAGACTGCTTAATAGTGAAATATCTTCATAGGAAACACTAGAAACACAAACCGCATCCTAGAAATCATGTCTAGTATATAAAATATAGCCTAAAAGTCTACGTTTTTATTTCATTCTGCCTGTATTCAAGTGTGATTTCATGGAAGTCTCCAATATACCCAAGCTGACATAAAGTAAAAAGACTAATAGGACACATATTTGGGTGGGGAGGAGAATAAAGGATAAAAACATGTTTGTCATCCATATTCAAGTAAAGACCTGATTGTAATACTAGCCCCTTTTTTCCCCAAAAGTGTAAGCATACCCAGGTTGCTTCTTCATATTGCCACTGGCCCAGTCATTACAGCAGCCAGTAAAGTATGACTGTTGTTTTAATGGAGTTCAGGAGCCATTGGCAATTGATGGCTGCTGGAGGAAGTGTCAGTTTTCTTCTGGACCTGTCCCCTGGTAGGTTTTTCATGCTTCAGTAGCCCTACAGTCATGCACTGGCAGTACTAAGTGGACTCAGCAGGTTAAGAAAAAGTCGACTAAGCTGGAAGGGTGAAGTGGCCATGGAGTAGGAGAAGAGAGTAAGAAAGGAAGAAATGGGCGGTGGATTTGATAAAAAAAAAATATTGTGAAC